TGCGAATAACCATGGTAAGCTTAACATTGGTCGTGCGTGACGTGTATCCGTATAGCAGAAGAAGTACAATGCACTGGCTTTTGCCATTTGGTTGTCAAGACATTGATCACAAGTAGGATGACATCGATGAAATGTTGATTTGTTTGATGAACGTAACTCTTCGAAGAATAGTCGACGTATGCGGTGTACCAATTGCCGTAACTCGATTTGTGCTGAATCAGCAACCAAACAAGCGGATTCGGTTTGTTGTTTACTCAATGGAGTGTGATATTGAGATGATGATGAGTCGAATCGACAGAAAATATCCACATCCGACGAGAAACGATAGACATACATGATATCCATAATTGATTCACGATAGATTCGAGCAAGTTCTTCAGCAGCTGGCGTATATTCTTGATGACGATCGTGAACAAGTAATGGATCAATTCGAGAAGCACAAACAGTCGTGGGTGGTGTTTGAACTTTGATCCAATTCGGCTCAAAACGAAGGCATGAACGAAACAGTTGACCTTAAATGAGAAAAGTTTTTCAAATCGATTTATCGTCTTCGTCTAGTATTGATCTCACCAAGAATATGTGAAGATGGATAGGATTTATAGTAAGGTTTGTCAAAGTAGTCAGGTCGTTCATTACCCAATTCAGCTTGCAGCTCTGAAATTTGTTCAGGTGATAATGGGTGTTGTCCAGTCTTAGGTGCGTCTAATTCTTCCGATATATGTCCAGCAATAGCCAATGTTTTCTTGTGTCCGACACCATGACGATCCATGTAAGCTAAATGAAGTGAACATAGTTTCCCTGCACAGGATTGTTCACTAATATCTAGAACAGTTCGTTGAATATCGGATCGGTTGACTGGCCGATCAACAACGCGCTTCATCGGAACGTGTGAATCATATTCATACGGAGTCGCATTTGGTGTTTTAGGAATAAATTCCGGATCCCATATAACAGCATATTCGTCACCATCGAGATCCGAACCAGATATTTCGTTTGGATGTGGACGTTCGCCTCGCTGTGGGAAAACAATAACATCTTTTAAATGTTGTAATTGCGGTACATTGACTGCTGAGAACACTCGAATATCACCAGGATGATGACATGGATTTTTCGTTACAACGACTGATTGTTCGAGTATAACGGTTTTCTCTGTTTTCGATTCGTTGTTCTTATAATCACTATTCAATTCCGTATATTGAACAAATACTAAATGAAAACAGATATTCGAGAATGAAACTAATTTGCCTCTTCTTTCTCTCTCTCTCTCTCATCCTACCTTGCCCGTACTCGAGAATTCTATACTCATCGACAATACCAATCATATTTCTCGCAGAATTCTTCGGTAATTTTAACCGTGTTCGTTCTTTCATTTGTGCTAATTCGAATTTGCCAATAGTGATCAATAATTGATGAAAGAATGGCTCGGCAATTAAATTCAAATGTGCTTCATCAATCAGTGCTGGCGATGGAAACAGTTTTCGATTTAATTTCTCTGATAGCAATTCCAGAGCCTTTTCAGGATAAACAAGCGACTCGGAAAGAAATTGTTGATGTTTGTTTTGCAGAAGAAGAAATGTTCGATCATCAATTAATCGATGAGACAAGAGAACAATAATTTGTCGATTCAAGTACAATGGACCTACATGAGAAATGAGAAATTACGAAAAGATAACCGATAATAGACTTACGAGGTTTGGATATCCGACAGAGTTCGAGGATGTCATGATCACATTTGAATTTTCTCATCGATTTACGTATACGTAATTGATGGTCAGCACCATCGAGATCTGGATTAACAGATATGACACCCTTACAACCACCATAACGGATTTGCATTGCTGAAAATTTCCGATGGGAATTAATCTGACAAGAAATAAAATATTAAGCACTGTGATTTGACTGAGTAGGATATTTGTAGTCACTTACGAGATCTCGAACAGCAGTTGACATTGTTCCAACTCCATCGGTGAAATTGTATTTGGAGTCTTTCGTATGGACATCATCAATGTATTCGACTTTTTCGGATGGAATCTATAGAACAAAGTAATCGAATGTTGAACAGCAAAGGTCCGCTCTACTTACCGGAATCGTTGCTTCAGCACTAGTAAAACATTGTGCGATACGTGCAGAATGTTTGGCAACAATCGTCTCTTCTTGAAAATCACCCATCCAGGCAAATGCTTGTTCGAAGGAGAAGTTCGTTTTCTTATCATGATAGTAAAACCAGAATTGTTTGTCTTTCAATTGCGATTGAGAATGATGTAGATATCGATAAATTCGTCCTCGTCGTCCGAGATCAAAACCCGATTCAAGTAACATTTCTGTTTTCCAACGTAATGCTCGATCTAATAACAACAAAAGCGAAATATCGACCTAAATGATAATGAAAATAGCAACATACAGTCATGTGGAAATAGATCGATTTTGCCATTTTCATCTTTGACATCAACTAGAGCAAACATCAGATTACCGCCGAATTGTGGTTCACGTAAAACTCGATTTGTCTTCACTAATTTCAATGGCTTGACACAAATTGTCGTTGGTGTGAGTGTCACCGATGGAACGTATGCATAGTTTGGTGGTGGTGTATGAATACTCCAATGTTGCGGTATCTGTTCAGTTTCAGTTTTCTTGTCAGTATGATGATGTCTATTCATTTGATGTGACAGGGCAGCTACATCAGCACTTTTCTTTTGGTAGCGGTATAGCTCAGTGAGTAGATTTATGAAATAGTATTCACTGGAACGACGCCACAGATGAAGCGATGTCTGAAATAATCAGTAAAAAAGTTTTTGTTTTCAAAGTTAGCTTATTGATTTCTTTTACCTGATAAAAGTCATCATCGTCCTTAATTGAATTCATATGTTGAATAAAGGTGTCAACTAATCTTTGTTGAAAACGATAACCAATTGAAAACAACATTTGCCAGCAGTACTGTTTAATAAATGACATCGATTCGTCGTTCATGAACTTTGCTATCATCGATGCGTAGTTTTTCATCGACGACATACTATTGATGAGACCGAAACACACATGTATACGATTTCGTTGAAAGAATTCAATAAAATTCTGTCGACACTTCTGGATGTACTGATTTTGTACTTGATGATCGTCTTCTTTTCGGTCAGTAGTGTTTGAAAGTGAAATAACAAGACGAATTGTCGAATAGAATGGTTGAGCTTCTCGATCAGCTGTACGTCTATATGTACTCGTTGGTTTCTGCAAAGCAGAATCTTGATCTAATTTGTTATCATCAATCACCGATTTGTAATCCACCGAGTTGCCTGTCACATTCAGAAATAACGTTAAAGTATCCGATCCGTCCATAATCACAGCACATCTATCCATTAGTTCAGCTTTGAAAGTTTTCCGCAATTTATTCTCTTTCGATCCATAGTCAAGGTCAATTCTATCATGGTAAAACACTAGACACCAACCATCTCGAATTTCTGTGACAGGATCATAAATATATTGATTTAACTGAACAAGTGAGCCTGCAGTAAATTGTATCTGATATGTATCATTCGTATAGAACTTCCCTAATTTAACATTCTTTTTTATAGTCTCACATGGTGCTAACAAGGACGAAGTTTGCTGATGACACTGCTTAAGAGATATCCAATATGGTGGGAATTGGGTTTGCAACTGTTTTAATTTAGTCATTACATTGTTTATAGCTTCATCATCATCTTTTGAATAGAATGGGATTGTGTACGAACGTAGGCCACCAAAGTGCCAGTAATGATGATCACGATTGTCAGGAGGTTGAACTGATATGTGACTATACAGTGCTTTATAATTCAATGATGATGCAGCGGGATCAACAATAATACTCAATTGGAAAGTAGGTGTAGATTCAATTTTGGCATCCATCTAAAATATAAACTGAAATATAAATACAATTGATTTTATCGAGACGTTTTATTGTAGTTATGAGTTGTCACGCAGTGAGTCATATCAGGAAATCGATGCAAGTTGGAAAAAACGACTCGAGAAATTTGACGTCGCAAAATTCTATTTGATGATTATCTAACCTAGATAGATATCTAGAAATGAAGAAAAAAAAGCAGTATTTGAAGAATATCTACGTCTGTTTTCTTTGGCTATTTATCATTGTTAGAATTCCGCGAAGAGACAAACGTGACTTTGCATCGTAAAACTAATATAACTATCTACCTGCCTAATGTTTAGTAATCTAATGCATATATTGATACAATTAGTAAAATATTGAATGTATATTTGCTAGAAAATAAAATAGAATTGAATATTTTCATGAAAACTGACCATTTTATAAACGACGGTAGAGGACAAACAGTTTGTTTTTCTTTTGCAATGACAATGGAGACGCGCAATTACTTTTTTAACTGCGGGCTAGTCTGACTTGAAGTGAAGTTTGTCTCTTAGCGAATCAAACATTTAAAATAATGGATGAATCATGTCGATTCAGGTTATCTTGCTTAAGCAAAGTTAAGTAACTAAAGATAAGACATCTGCACTGCGCTGTTTTACTACCAACGTTTTTCAAGACAAAAGTGAAGGGGAAAAAGAGCAAGGCCAATTCCATGTGTTTGTTGGATTCGATGGTAATCTATTGAGAAGCAACGAAATAAGAAAGAAGAAAAACGAACTGCCTATGATTCACACACATTTTGAATAGAACAGGACTAATAAAGATGCATAGAACGAACGAAAAAGAATAAATGCTCGTGGGTTAATGTGGTGTTCTACGATGATTATATAGAACTTTTCCGTTAGAATGATATGAAGTTGTATGAGACTTTTCGTATGCAGGTAGATTTGAAATCAAGAAAATGAGAAGAAAAAAGAAAAGGTAAAGTGAATGGTAGGTTGTCAAGTAAGTATAGAAGTAACAAAACACCGAAGTGTTCGGACTGTTACTTAAGAGGGCGACACATATCATTTCAGATTATTTATTGATTTAAGAAAAGAATACAAAAACGAATCACTGCGAAATCTTGTTTTTCGAATAAGGATTCCATTCATTCTTCGGAATTATTTGCTGGAAGATGGACTTGTCTTACATGTTGATCATCAATGAAGTACCCACTCCCATGTCGAGGAGGCGATTCTTCATCAATTATTGCTCTCAGTTGTCCTAGAAGAGCACTAACATGTGCTTCGTGTCGAAGAAATGTTGCCTTTTGTTCGTACAGATCATCGATCGTATGCAATGCTCTTGTTCGCCAAGTATCTAGCGCTTCTTGGTTATGTATTTGATAATATTCAGCAGTCAGACAGGAAAGTGATGCTGCGCCTGTTGATATTGGATACTGAGCCATTGAAGTCGACTTCGCACCGACGGCATCATCCATACGAGTAATCAATAACGATGGTGACTATAAAACAATCAGGAACAATGATAATAGTTGTTTTTCATAGAACGAACCTGTTTCTTCGAAGATTTCAATGATTTATTACCCATATGACGGTAAAAGAAGCAGAAATGAGAATGCACGAACCAGTGGTTGTGGTTTGATACAGGAAATATTTCAAATAGTTTGCTTCATTCTTGTTCTATTTTATCTGCATTTTCTTATTTACTGAATGCCAACGATTGAATCAATTATTCACCGGTAAAGGTGTGATTATCGATATGTTATTCAATTTCAAATCGGAATCTCTCTTGTGTTGTGCTTTTCGACGTCTTGCAAATGAAAACATAGAAATGAATGTCAATATCGAATATGATTGCACAATTACGGTATTGATAATGTTCATGATTGTTTTCGAACGAGGAGAATGTCTTTCTCGGCTAATGATGATACTTAAATTATAGAATGACAAAGGACAATAATATAAACAGGACCATGTAACATAAATGCTCATTTATGTGCCAATCTTTTGTAAAACTGACCATTCAGGTCTTTTATTGAAATTTGTTCGTTGATGGTATTGACGAACAAGTATATAAATAGTCGAAATAATCATAATCATCTGTAGAAAGAAAAAAACTTATTGTTACCCATGAAATCATATACTTCAAATCGGTTATATAGCAACTAAGACATGGCATATAAATACATGTCGGAATAAACGTGAATGGAATAAAAACGGATAGAACTGGCACCAACTGACGTTTCCATGTTAACAAACCATTTTTGCGAAATAAGAGAAAATGTCGTTCAACACTGGCGTAAGCTAATGATGTTACCATACCAATACTGATAGTTAAGTGATGAGCTGATGTTGTTTGACAAAGAGAAATCGAGTTGTTGAAAATATTGAGGTGATAACCCATGAAAAATATTGGTACGGCAATAAATGATGAGATTAAACAATAGATCAAATTGAAATAAAACTAAAGAAGAAATAATTAACAGATGATATGTGATGATCCGTTGTCTTTGATTTCTCCTACGATATATGTGTAATGAGTACGAAGGACGGGATCTGTGATATATCTGACTATACACACAATGGAGAAAATTGTTCCAATTACAATATCTATTGATGTAGTGATGACTAGGAGTGGCTCTAAAGCAACTACACTGGACCTATAGTCACATTCGTCGAAAGATTTTGTCCTTCTAAAAGAAATGGATTCATATGCAACCAGTTGTATTCACGTTTCAGTTCGTAGAAATCATAAAATGACTTAGCACGTAACAATTTTGTCACGAGAATGCTCGCCTAATGTTACAGATGACAAAGAGCAAGACTTTTTTTTATAGATGAATGCCAAAAATGTCGGCTCCAAAAGAAATGTGGTGGTTACACGCAAAGAGTACAAATCGTACTTTCCATAAAATCAGTCAAGTGACTGTTATTTGGTTTCGTTACAAAAAGAAACCTTATTATTTAACTTTTTTTTGCATCGCTCATACAACAGATCAGATATAGAATCAAAGAAAGAATAAATGAGGAATATTTTCTTTATAATCGTCAGAGTAAACGTCTATGAAATTCTATTTATCACACAAAAGAATGATGTTTATCTTAGTAATTTGTTTTTGATTATCGTATTCTATCATATTATAGAAGTTTTCATCATGTATAGTTCTGTTTGATGTTATAGAATAACTTACAAGCTGTAAAACATCATTTCTTTTATTGCCAGAATAATAATTGTAAAAAAAAAGGCAAACGAATTAGGACAATAAAGAAATGAAAGTTCTCAGTATCTAATACTAAACTAAGTATTTGGCTAGAGAAAAAAAACAAAATCGTTCAGAGAGGATTTATTTGCCACCAGTTGTTCCCATGCCCAACGCTGTTTTGAAAGTATCATAGATCCACCATTGAAGGCCAGTTAGTGTACCAATCATCAGAATACGTGTACCAAGACCCTGTAAGAGACATGTGAAATCATTTGAAATTATAAGAAGAAATGAACAAACCTTGGTAGCAAGTTTGGCAAAGCCTGTTTCATTAATAATTTGCCCTAAGCTTTTACCCTTATTGGCTGGTTTACCAAGAAGAGAAACAAGCGAATCGGCCGGATGTGATACAATAGCACAGATAACACCAGCTGTATACCCTGACGAAAATGTCACTCCAAGTTGTGTAGTTTTCGAATACGTTTCTTTTGGTTTTGTAAACACATATGTATAGAACAGTTGTACGACCTTCAAACACAAAAATGAGAAAATTGAATCGATTGGTTCTACTCGACGAACCTTTTCAAAGAAGAAAAATTTTGCGACAGTGTATGGCACTTGTCGAGACCATAATGGCACAAGTGATCGGTATGGAAAGCCAGTTTCTGCTCGCTGAGCACTCATCTGCGACCATGCTGCACCGAATGCTATTGGAAATGTACCCTTAGGTGCTGTTTGTACTTTCACTTTAACCATTTCTAATGGACATAATGCAACATCAGCAAACACTTCAGCTGAAGCTGATGCAGCACACCAAACAAGACCTTTGTATTTTTCGAAATTTTCTTTGCCAAGCATATTCGCATACTGATCTTTGAAAACTTCATAGAGACCATATTTGAATGCTCCTTGTGCCGAATAACCAAGAAATGTTGGTAGCCATCCTTTCCAAATAGCTTGACCTCCTTCTTCGGCAATAATCAATCGAAGACCCTTTACTAAACCTTTATACTTTTCAGGATTAACCTATATACCAAAAGCGCAGAAGTTTACACTGATCAAATGAAATCTCTAGAGAGGAACTAACTTGCATGTTACATTTTGTTACATCAAGCGGACAGATGGCTGTGTGTGTAAGTCCACAAGCAAGAATACCACCGAGAACACATTTCGAATAGTAGGACAGATCGTGAGGAACATGGCCTGCGTATCGAGAATCCCATTTCGTTACTAGAACGCTTGACGACGGTGTCGACTGATTTGCTTGTGCAGCCATTCTCGGTAAGTAAAAAAACAAAACAGCTTTACGAATGTAAATTTTTTGTTTTCAATCCTTTCGTCGATGTTTATTTGCTTTAAGTACGCTTGAAAAAAGCCAAAATTTGAGAAGAAAAATCACCATTGCGGTTACATATTCGACTTTCACTGAGGAAAGTTAAACTACAAAAGCAGTAGAACTAACGTCGGAATCTCCGTTATGAAAAAATTGAATAGAATTGAATTTAGTGTCCTCTTGTACATACGCACTACGATCTTTTTCAAAAAAAATTTGCGAAAAATGATAAATCGTATGCTATCTTATTGAAAGAGATTCTCAGGTGTTACTATTAAATAACGCTTTTCCGCTCCCGAACGTTCTTTTCTGTCGTTAAGTTCACGTTCAACGCCGTTCTGTTGTTCCATGTCGAATGCAGCCAATCTGTTACTACCGTCATCTATAGATCGAATATTATTGCTCGGAGAAGTTGATCCAATGGATGATATGAAAGAACTAGACATTGACTTATCGTATTCAGTTCCTTTGAATCCTTCAAAATGGCTTCGAATTCAACAGATCCATCCACGAAAGGTTAATTAGATTAAAAAAAAGGTCAAGTTCGATTGGAAAAATGTATGAAAATATTCTTTAGATGATGATGAATATCAAGCTGGTTATGACGAAGAAGATGACGAGCAAACTATCGAAGAAGAAGAACAATTCGGAGATGATGACGAACAAAACGAACTGGATGATTTAGAAGCGGTAATACTCACAATCACTTATTTGAATCACATCGTTCTTGTTTGAATCGCTTAGGATGCAAATATGCCTCTGGATGAACTACTCAAGATGTACGGACAGAACGCACCAGTCATTCACAACATCCCACATAGTCATCATGATGTAGGACTATTTTCAAAGAAAAACCTTGTTTTGAACTCTGTCACCTTTTAGACAAATACCTCTTCAGATGATGATGAAGATGAAAACAATCGTCCACCTCAACTGCATCATTTGCTTCATGTTAATGGTAGATTGTTGCCGGATAACGATGATGATGATGATGATACAGATGACTCATTCGAACCAGAAATTATTAAAGTTTGTGCTGTTGTCGCTTTTTGAAACTATTCAATTGAACTTTTTTCGGATTTTTTTTTCAGACAATTCGTGTTGGTGAAGAATATCAAGCAGAAGTAGAACCACAAGCGGAGTTTGATTCAACAAATGAGAATTCAGATGACAGAGAACGTACGATCAAATACGCATAAAATCCCAACTAAAATTGTTTTTGCTATTTCAGTACCTGTTGATGAAATCCTTTGGTCACCATCTTCAGTTGATGACGATATGAATGAGAATATTGATGAATATCTGAAAACAATTCGCAGTGAATGTAAGTCAATTTTTGATCTTTTCATTCGACATCGAATCTATTCTATTCAAAGATCCACTTTCGGATGATGAAATATCACTTCAAACGTTATTCAACTGTCAAATGAATACAGAAACCGCTCTTACTAAGTTTCGTCAATTACCTGTGAAAACTATCTGTAAGAATGTTTTCCTCTCTCCGCACTTGCCCTTATTTCGTCAATCTACATTAGATTCTTATCCGGAATGGTCACTCGATGAAATTCAGTCGCTCGAAGAAGGTTTACGCGTATATGGAAAGAATTTCTTCAAGATATCTGAAATCAAAGTAGCACTGACAGTTATTTCGTCACTTGTGATAGAAATTTTTCGTTTTTTCTAGTGTCCCAACCGAAGTGTTCGTGAAGTTATTCACTTTTATTACCAATGGAAGAAAAGTGAACGATATCAATTGTTTATGGAAGAACAACAGCGTCTCACTGCGATCACATCTGTCACGTATGTTGTTTTCGTACGCGTTACTCTCGAAAGAACGAAATTCAATCATTTCTTTAGCGATATGATCGAAAAGCTAATTGAAGAACAAGAACAACAATTATGTACAGCTGTAGGTGTTATCAATTCAACCAATTCTTCGTCAGTACTTACACATGATCTTAAACGCAATTCTCCAAATTCTTCAATCTCAATTGTAACTATATGTCAACAAGAAACGAGCACAACAACAACAAGCAAACGAGCATTTGATCAAGTGGACAATGATACGGATCCACCAACGAAGAAATCTTCACTTAATTCTAATAATTCTCCAACAGCAACCATCGTATAGTCACATCATGAGAAAACCACAGATGGACAAAATCGAACACGAGCGCGTCACATTCGTTTGTTTATTTTCTTTCTTGTTTATGAGTATTTAAATACATATTAGTGTTTGTTGTTGTTATTGTATTATTCTTTCTTGATCATTACCTATACGTAAACAAAATCTAAAATATTTAGATCATTCTATACCGATGGCTCTGTGGTCTCCAGTACCACAATTGGGTAGTCGACGCGGCATCCAAATATCTAATTTTAATACGAATCAAAAGTTTACAGTGAGTAAAGTTTATTCAATGTATCGTTATGCGAGACAAATTTCATGTGTCTTTGTAGGAATATACTATTGACATATGTTTGGATGATATTCGTTGGCAAGTGTCGAAACGTTATAGTGAATTCGCTGATTTTCATGAAGAATTGATCAAAGAAGTTCCGCAAATCGACGCGAAAAGTTTGCCACCGAAGAAATTACTTAACAAAACTTCACCTGATTTTATTCAACGACGACGACAAGCGTTAGACCATTATCTAAAATATTTATTTCAATTTTTTACCAATAATACAATGCAATTACCTGAATGTTTTGTCCAATTTCTGGATTTTCATGTTTATGTAAGTCGAATCGTCAATCCTTCTTACATCATTTTTCCAATGTCAATTTTCCAGGAAGTTCATGGTATTGTTCGAAAGCTAGCGAAAGAATTATTTTTAAACGGTGATAAAATCTTAGCAGCGCCGGGCAAGAAAGTATTCTCTATTAGTCCACTACAAATACATGCAATCACTCGACGTATTAAACTACCCGAACCACCGTGTGGTAACTAAAACCTTTCCACTTTTTCTCTATTAGTCAAAGCAAAAACATATCTTTATAATTAGAGAGCAACGATCCTGCTAAAGATCTAAGTCATGTTCTCGATTTCCTTTGTCATGTCAAGTATGTACAAGTATGTTGCCACAACTTAGGCAATGAAGGTGCGAGAGTAGGACAAGCTTATCTAATGATTTGACGTGTTTTAGATCATTGGCAGTCCTGATAACTTTGGTACAAGTACAGTGAAAACACAATTTCTTCCATTCGATGTTTCATTCTGTAAATCAGTCGAAGAACTTGAAGTATGATCAAATTCTTCGCAAATCAATTGATTCGAATTCGATTTTTCATTTATAGCTCGATTGCGTTCAAACCAGTCAAATAACTGGATTAGACAATCTTAAGAAAACTGTACGTCGTCTTTCCATTCATCGTAGTCTAACATCCATTCGAGTACGTATACCATTTTTGCATACCAGAATAATATGTTGATTCTTTCGTTTACGCAGGAAATTGCACTTAGCTCACTGGCAGAGATTCCGCCATCATCTAATGAATGGTTGATTAGCACGTGGAAGCTTGTAACTTACCTTGATCTAAGTAAAAATTCTTTACATTCCTTGGATGAATCACTTGTAAGTGAATAGTTATCGATTAATTTTCACTGAAAGCTGTTCGTTTAGAAATTATTTTGTAAAACAGAAACATTAGATTTAAGCTATAATTTATTAGAAACAAATATTGATCATTTACAGCATTTGCATTTCCTTCAAACTTTAAATTTATCCAACAATCGCTTGTATGATGTCTCAGATTTCAATGCACGTGTTGGTAATATACGTTCGTTAGATTTATCATTCAATGAATTGATTACAACTGATGGCTTATCACGTCTTTATTCGTTGATCACATTGAATTTAACATCAAATAAATTAGACTCAATCAAAAGTATTGAATCACTTGGAAGTTTGCCATGCTTAGAAAACCTCTGGCTGAAAAATAATCCATTAGCACGCATTGTTGATTATCGCATACGTGTGTTCGCGGTGTTTCACAACCGAGCAAAAGATGTAGGACATAATCACGAAGAGTGTTTATCTAGAACATTTTTATTGCGTTGTAGATTTGGCTAGATGGCCAAATGCCGGATCAACGTGAAATCGATCGAGCTTCAGTTATTAGTGCAATGAGCCGTGCGAAACAAAATGAAGCTGCACAAGCAACAATGCTTGTTCGAAAAGCTTTCTCGCCAACAAAACCTGTTAGTCTTCTTTCATCATCTCTCCTTCGACAAACGTCAGCGCCTAGTGTGAACAACGTGGCATCATCTTGTCCCGGTAATTTATCAAGTATTGAAAAACAACCGGATGTTGTTCTCGATATTACGGCAAGTAACAACACATTGCCCATCGACGAAATCGATATGAATTAATACGATGATTCCTTTCTTTCTTCTTTCTTGTTTTTGTTTCTTCAATCTGTACTTCTTGTATCGAATAAATTCTAATTGTCCTGATAAATGCTGCACGTGTAACTCACATAGTGTATTCAAATGAAATATATATCTTTTTGCCTCGAATCATCGATTATAATAACGGACGAAAGCAAGGTGAATACGTGACTTCGTCGATGTCATCGAGAAAAAGATAAATACAGAATCATGCATAACAAACAAGCAAGCAAAACGAGACAGACGTAAAAGATCACTACGCGGCGCTAGTGTTCTTGAATATTTCACAGTACTAAATGCGGTAAATGTAAATAACCTTGTCACTCTACATGATGTGTTACATTTTAGTAGAATTTGAAAAATTCAAGAGTGTAACTAATGTAGATTATTGTCATGTCGCTATGCATGAGCCTCGGATTCACAAAAAGAAATGTAACACCCTTAACTATTTTGCAAGAATGAAGTACATATGTGTTATTATGTCTATTGCGTCGAGCGACATCTATACCAATGAAATATATGACGTATTTTAATTTCCGTGTTGTTTTTATCGTGAGATTATTCGTTTTTAGTTGGAAGAAAGTTTTGTCTCAGAATCACGTTTTCGATCCGAACTCCAATGGTCTTTGTTTATCTTATTGTTTTGATGATAGTATGGGAGTCTAGGTAAAATATAAATGGCGATGGGAGGATAAACTGTGGAGTAGAATCTTTCCTAATTAGAGACGCGAGAGAAAATATGATGTTCGGTGAATTGGTTTTATTTCGATTTTTTTACTTTGTTTTGTCATAATGTCTTGTTTTACTTTCTGCTTTGCTTTTAGAAAGAAGATATTTCCATCTTCGTGCCTTTCACATTTCCTCTTTTAATATAGAAGAATGAGCGTTGCAACGGCTGGTGCTGCCGTGAGCACGCAGCACCATCAACCAACTGCGGAACAAATTCGTCTTGCTCAATTGATTGACAATAAGAAACATAATGATCCTGAAGTTCAAAAAATCATTCGTAAAGTTCTTGACGTTGTAGAAAATTCCAATCAAGAAGACGCCCTTGTCGCTCTATTTGATTGTGATTATGATTACGAAAAAGCTGTTGCATTACTTATTGAAAAAGGTCATGACATAGCCAACGAATGGCGAACAGCAACTAATCATAAAGTGACTAAGAAACAACAGCAACAAAAAGGTGCGGCAACAAAAAACGGTCATGAAGAATTGAGTGAGAATGGACAACAACGAGGAAATAGTAAACGATTGATTGTGTATATATGGGAAATTTCCATCTTGTTTGCTTCTCTTAGATAATTCAGCTCCTCGTGGTAAAACTCGTGGTGGACGATCAAAATTTCAACAGAATGGAGGCGACTCTCACAATGCTACTACTGGTAACAATAATCAACAGCAAAATGATAATGATATGCCACAACAAAGACAACGAGGTGGAAGTGGATATCGAGGTCGAAATCGAGGTAATCCACGAGGCAGCTTTCGCGGAACTGATAGAAATTATCAACCACATCAGCAACAGCAAACACAAGATTCGAATGTTGATGCTTCATCACCGTCAGATACAAATCGACGTAATAAAGGTGCTGCTTCGAATCCGAAATCACAGCAAGATCAATGGGACGTTGGTAATTGGAATGGTGAAACATTAATCATCTCAAGGACAACGAAGGATGAAGAACAACAGGCATCTGCGACTGCAGACAGCTCATCTGTTGGTAAGAAGCGAAATGAAATCTTGAGATGTGAATTTTCTATTTGATCTCTTTCAGTACACAATGGTCAATCGGATGTGGCACATCCAGATCAATCGACAACAAAATTTGATTTCATAGAAGCAGCTCGTCAGATCAAGGATGTCATTGGTATTGGTCAGGCACCAAAATCCTCTATACCTGATCAACAACAAAAATCAAAAGCTACTGGTCAACCAATCAACACAAAAGTCACTCCACCACCACCATCATCGTCATCGTCACAGCCAACAGCACAAACTCAGCAACGTATTCCACATCAGCCCGTCATTTTCTCTGATCATTTCGATGGTGGAATGCATAAAATCGATGTACAGTTTGGTAATCTAGGTGAATCTTATGATGATGCATCAGCAGTATCGACAGCACCGTTTTACCAGCCAACAGGATCAATACCAACGAACAAAGTTTCTCAACAACGACCAATGGAACAGTCAGCACATATTTCACCATCGACTCGTTCAACCGAACAACCGGTGATGAATCAACAACGAATATTACTCACACAAGTTCAACAGCCAGCCATGGCAATAAAATCAGTTGTTCCACCTCAATACACTGTTCACCCGCAACAACATCAAGCGAACACACAGAATATGCTTTTACAGTCATTACTTTTTCATCAACAACAGCAACCCGAGGTAGATGAAAAGAACATAAACAGTTTGAAATGTTGATGTTCCGCTTTTGAATTTTTCTAGCCAGTAACATTAGATGCATCCTACGATCCAAACGCATTTCCATTGTCATCACTTGACTTCAGCTCGCCATATATCATGGCAGCAATGAATGCAGCAGCAGTACCACAGCAACAAACTCAAGCGCGCTATATGGTTCCGCAACCACCCCCAGCGCCACAACAAACGTCAACAAAAACTGCTCAGACACAACCTGTTTCAACAACAGCACCATCGACTGGCGCCAAAAAAGCACCAGCAGTTCCACCAGGGATGTTTCCATCGACAGTACCACCTCCCTTGCCACAGACAGCGTATCCAACACCATATGGTGTTCAACAGCAGACAGGTGGACCAGCGTTCTCAGCACCATACGACGCCGAACATTTATTTACAAGCTCATTTATGCAATTGAATAACTCGCAGCAAACTCAATCGCCAACAGGTGGATATGGATCAGTTACACCACCTGTTCAACAACACAATCAACCACAACAGACAAATAGCAATAACGATAGCAAAGCAATGGGGTAGACATAACTTAGGAAAAGAATACATCGGAAACGATTTTCAAACTGTTTGATTTCTATTTTTAGCTACCGAGGACCAGTGACAGAAAATCTCATGTTAATGCAACAATTAAATCTTCAACAGACGAACAGTCAACAACATGGTCAACAAGCAGCTGCACATTCACCAATGAATTTTTTCCTTGGTCATCCAGCTGGTGGTTCAAACTATTCATCTGGTATGTTTGATTCTCTCAGAACGACCAAAAAAAGATTTCCAATTTTCTTCTCTTTTCTTCAAGGTCCACAACTTGTATACGCACCAGCAGCAGCAGCAGCTATGACTCAGCAACAGCCACAGCAATTCTCGAAACAACAAGGTCAACAATACAATCAACATAATTCATCAGCAGGTATGGGAGGCAATGAAGAATATTATGGTCGTGGCTCGTCATCGTCTAACAAAGAAGGACAATACATTTATGCAACAGCTACTCAACCACCGCATATTTCGGCACAATCGGCTGCTCAACAACACGGCGTAAACAAACAACAGCACCAATCGCAACGTACTGGTGGAAATGTTTATAATAATCAACAAGGTCAACAACGTCCATATCAATAAAATGAACGACTTACTGAACATTTTCTCTTCTTCTTTCACTCTTGCTGCTATTATTACTAAAGTGTGTGCGTGTGCGTGTGTTTCTAACGTGTAACTGTGATTTGATCCTTATTCTCACATTGGGCACAGCCCATTCCTATCCGTTAATCTTGTCGTTTATCGCTGGCGCATCGTTTTTTTTACATTAAGTTTGCATTATTCTTTGTCTCATATAAACATAAAAAACGCCTCATTGTCGTTCATTCGGTTTTCGTTTACTTCTTTTCTCTGTAAATCCAGACTTTCTTCGTCGTTCTCTTTCTGTTGGACTGTTTAGATTTTCATCTTTCTCTTCTCTCGTCTTTTTTTTTCTAAACGTGAACATGAAACAAACAAAAAGAACTTTAAAAATTGACTTCTCTTTTTTTTCGCTTATTTGTTTTTTTTAGACAAACTCAGTCCGTCTATTTTTTGTTTTACTTTTATTTTGACCCGAACAATATTTGTTTGGGTCTTCACATAGACTATGCCTGGCAGAGATCCGAAGCGTAATCAACAGGGAAATTATGGTAGTTATGGGTACGTATCATGTTCATGCTGCGTTAGAGAATTAAATGTTGACTTATTTAGATATTCAAATGGCCGAGGTGGTGGTACGCCGCGAAATCATGTGATACCAAACGAGCCTCCCTTTACGGCCTATATTGGCAATGCACCTGATTCGATGGTCCAAGGCGATTTCGAAACTCATTTATTTGTTGGTCTGAAGATAAAACAAGTTCGATTAGTACGTGATCGACAAACGGATCGATTTCGAGGTAGGTATCGTTGGATATCATAGGTGATTTAGTATTGAACTGCTGTCTTCATCTAGGTTTTGCTTATGTGGATTTCGAAGATGCAGATTCTTTACGTCGTGCAATTGATTTGGATGGAACAGTAAGTTAAAATAAACTCGATTTGCATTCAGACATCTTGCTTACTAGTGTATCAATGATCGTCCAATCCGTATTGATGTTGCTGTTCGACCATTGGGGGCAACAAAATCAGAAGGTTTCCGCAAGAAACGTACGTTGTCGTTATTTAACATGTACATAGTTCATTCAGGACTGTTTAGCTGGTTTCGAAGCTGGCAATAATCGTTGTCGTAATCCATCAGGTAATAGCAATACTGTTCCACGTTATAGTGGCCGAAGCAATAGCAATTACAATCCACCAGAAACTCCATACAATGTGGAAGACGGATATCATGATGGTAAAATCGTTCAGATCGATTTCCCTTCTTCTTCTATCTTTACACGTAGATTATCCAGTTTCTGGACACACTCGTCAACCATCGGGTTCAAGTAAACCTATCGAACGTCGCAATAGTCAGACTCAACAGAATAAAACAACTTTAGCACATCAAGTCTCGAATGATGACGTTTTTATTGCGCCTGACACTCCTACATCGAATGAGGACGGTGTCGATCAAGAAACTACGACAATGATTCGACAACAGAGTCGAAATTGGGCTGATTGTCCAATCGATGAATCGGTTACAGAGTCATCTCCACCACCAAGTGTCAATAATACATTTACGAACGATGAATTTCAAGTAGAGATTTTTCTTTCAAGAAAATGACGAATAAAAATTTCCTTATCTGCATAGGTCGTTCGTAATAAAAATGTCAAATCACATCCAAATCAACATTTTTCATCAGGTTCTATGGGTGGTAATCAATCAGGTCGCGGTCGTAATAATGGAAACTTCCATCGTGGTAATGTCTCGCAAATGTCGGGTGGTCGCGGTTTCTACGATCAATTTTCCTCTCAATATTCCGATCAATCTCAACAATTCTACCATTATCAACATGGACATCCATCCTCTTTACATACGGGCATGTCTTATCATATGAACAATAATAACAACAACAATCATTCGCATAACCGACAACGTGTTAATTCGAATCGTTCGAACCGTAATAATCGAAATTATTCTGATAACGACAGACGTTTAACTAAAGGTCTTAGCGAGAGTTCAACTGATCATGATAGTACTTCCGTCTCAGCCGGTAAACGTTTTCTTTCCTACGAAGTTTTTCATGGCAATGAATCCTTTTCACGTATAGAAAATCGACCACGATTGCAGTTATTACCTCGATCACAAAAGCTTTCGTCATCAACTGATGATAATCAAACGTCTGAACCGGTATCAAGAAGTGCCAATATATTTGGTTCTGGTAGATAAACATTGTAACATTCATTCGATTGAAAAGTGAATTCTCACATTTCAGGCAAGCCGCGCGATGAGCGTGATCCAAAATTGATGGAATTAAACAAACATATCGAAGAAGTAGTTGAGAAAGAACAACATGTTCCTCGAACAAAATCAACTGCATCTAATGAATCCACAGAAGGTGTTGCCAAGTATGTTCTACCATGTTTAAAATATAGTTTACTATTTTCGAACAAGTATTTATTGAAAGATGCATTTGCAAAACTTATTAATCTACTAGCGAACAAAAATAGATTTCTAATTAAAGTTCCAACTGCTACTTGTTCATGCTGAAGTATTTGAGAACGAGCTTCTTGATCTCATTCTTTTGAAGATGTGAATCGGAGTCTAATCGTAGATGACATTTTGAACTTGATTGCTATCCTGATGTCTTCTTTTCTAGACCGGTACGAATCTTGACAGCATCGACTGGCTCGTAGATGGACGAAAGTTGAAATTTTCTCAATACAAACATTGTCTCTCTTGTTTTCTTGGTTTTTGTCTTTTCTATTTTTATCCGTTTTGTTGTGTAATTTCATTGGTAAGCATGCACACATATTTATTCTAAAAATGTGTGCTTGTAACTAACTGTTCATCATCTTCTTTTGGTTATTTATCATTTCGGAAACAAACAATTCTGATCATTTCTTTGTTGATTGTTTCGATTTTCCGTTTTGCTTCTGGTTTTTTTCTCTCTTCTCTTCTCTTCGATTCTTGATGAGATAGAAAACGAATATGACATGAATAGGTTGTTTTTCTTTTTCATTGTACGTGAATGTTGAGCAAAATCATGTTTTCTTTTCTCTTTCTCATTGGATGACTTTTGTTTTTCTTGTTGTTGTGGTGTACTTGACTTCCTTTGCACAGACTATATTGTACAGTTCTTTCGAAGAAACAAAAAATAAAAACATATTATAACCTTTTTTGTCGGTTAAAAACTAATTCGAATATGTTCATTTATTTAGAAGTCGACGACGAGAATTCTCTCGATGACATCAACGTTGATCTCGTCGAAAGCGAACTCAGGTAAAGCCTCCAACAGTACCACAGCCGGCAATGCAAATTCGAATGATACGGCAATAACGGAAGAAGAATTACTAGAGAAGGACTCGCCGCTTACTATCGACGATGTTCTTCGATTGAGAAAAGCGACCAATAGTAAGAGAGAGAAAAATGCTGTTCATTGTCATGCTTGATTTTTATTCTAGACTATCTAACGGAAACAGATGAGAATGTATATAAAATCGATTTCGTCCGTTTTCGAATTCGTGATATGAAGACCAATGCAGTTCTTTTTGAAGTCGAACGAGCTCATGGTATTATCCATGCCTTCATTTGACAATGCTTTTTGGATAAAAATCTTTTTCTAGATGATGATGATGACATTGAATTAACTGCTGGCCGATTTGTTCAATATCATTTTCCGCCGTCATTCCTCAAATTGAAACAAGTGGGCGCGTTGTAAGTTCGAAGCGCATTTGTCATGTTGGTTTTTGTTACTTCTCAGCTTAGAGTGGATTTCACTGTTGGCGATCGTGAAGTGAAATCGTTTCGTATGATTGAACGGCATTATTTCCGTGATCAGTTAATCAAATCGTTTGATTTTGATTTCGGCTTTTGTCCGCCGAACACTCGTAATTCCATTGAGCATATTTATGAAATGCCTGAATTCAATTCCAAACAAAGTAAAAGAAAAGCAAACTTGCATCGAGACTCGAATAATCCTTGTTAATTTGTCTTTAGTTAAAGAAATGATTGAACATCCGAATGAAACCAAGTCAGACAGTTTTTATTTCGTCGACAATCAATTAATCATGCACAAGAAAGCGGCTTATGCGTTCGATCGTGATCAATAGGATCGAATTCTTCAGATGAATCTTTGTTTTGTTTTGCTTTCGATGTCTTTTGCTTCATGTAACAATATTTTTTATCCAAAGAATTCCGTTTTTGTGTATCAGTAAACAATATTTTATTTACTTTTCCGTCTTCGTCTTCTTCTTTTTCTTCTTCTTCGTTTTCGATGATGAAATAATAATAATAATTATCATGAATCAATACGATTGTTTGAATAAAGCTCAACTGAGCTTCGAATACTTGCACACAAACTCAACTACACATACGTTTCTGTTCGGTGCATTAGCTGAACTAGTTGATAACTCAAGAGATGCCGGTGCCAAAAATCTGCATATTTATACGCACAACAATCCATCATTACGTGGAGGTTTCTATTTGGCGTTTCTAGATGATGGATGTGGAATGCACTACGGTAAGCTCAATCAAGTACACATCTTCGTATTCATCTGGATTTACTTAGACGATGTATTTAATGTCATTGTTTTCGGCAAATCTGCTAAACGACATACATTGGACTCGACTCAAATTGGTCAATATGGTAATGGTTTGAAATCCGGTGCTATGCGTATTGCGAACGATTTTATATTATTTACAAAGAAAGATAATATTGGCACATGTCTGTTTCTCTCTCGAACGTTTCATCAAGAGGAACACATTCCACAGATCATGTGTCCGATGCCGTGTTTTGATTTAACAACTCGTCAACCAATTGAGAACACAGACAATCAACAATTGAATGGCACACATACTTATACCTATGATAAGACAAAACATGAACTGGAAATGCATTTAATCACGAAATATTCTCCGTTCAAAACAGTCGATGATCTATTTAAACAGTTCGATTTGATCACTTCACCAACAGGCACACTGATTGTTCTCTATAATGTCAAATTATCGAACACCGGCGAAGCTGAACTTGATATCAGAAGTGACCCATATGATATTGTGATAGACTCGAAAAACCGAAGAAATCTATTCGACGATGACGACGATAGGTAAATACATTGGAAGTGATCATGAAAATTTTCTATTCCTGTCTCATATATCCCGGGCAGTGGGCTATCAATCGATTTCGATGGAATGAATGTTTGCTTTCCTTTGATGTTTAGTACACCGGCAGAGTATCGTTCACTTCGGGCGTACGTCTCCATACTTTATTACGATCCGCGTATGCATATCACTATTCAGCAACGTCGTGTCGTTACAAAGAAACTTCCACTAACATTATATAAACCTCGACAGTACCAATTCAAGTCCACGCGTTTCAAGACACGCTCAGAACAAGATATAAAACAATGTGAAAAAGACTTAGTGGCTTTAGATGAACGTATTCGCGAAGCAGACTCACAAGTTCATGATGCACAACAACGAATCGGGATGTCTACATCTGCTGATGATCGTTCACGTTTACGAAAATTACAAATTCATGCAGCTGAATTAAAAGATCTTGCTAATCGATTACGCAATGGTCTTACAAGGAAAAAGTCTGAATTGAACACGACAAAAACGTTAACCTTCATCTTCGGATTGAACGTGCCGAATCGAGCAGCTGACGGAGTTTTTGTGTACAATTGTGGACGATTGATTAGAATGTATGAGAAAATTGGACAACAAAATAAGAAAACTCTGTAAGTAATTGAATTTTCAAGAAATGATTTATCCAAAAGGCTGGTCTTATTAGATATTGTCGAGGAGTGATTGGCGTTGTTGACATTCCTTCGATTGTCCTTCAACCGACTCACAATAAACAGGCATTTGCTGATGAAAAAGAGTATCATTTCCTGCTAAAGAGTATGGGAGAATATATGCGACAGTATTGGAGCGATGCAGGCATCGAACAACATGTGAAAGAGTTTTGGGAAGCTTATGGTGAGATTGATCGAAATGTTTGTGAATTATATTTGAATTGTCTTTCAAAAGGTTATCGAGATGATCAACTCGATCGATTGCCATCCAACGATCCAGAATCTACTAAGCGTCGGCAATTCGCAACCCCGACACTTATTCAATGTAATAAATGTTTCAAATGGCGACGTTTGCCTTACACTAGTGATGCGACAACATTAACGCAAGCACAGCCTGAATCATGGGAATGTTCAAATAATAGTGATCTTCTGAATAATTCGTATAGAATCTTACTTTTGAGTTACTTATTTAACTAAAATGTATTTTCAGTTGCTCAGCCAATGAAAAGTTGGAAGCCATACCCGAAGGTGAATTGAAACAAAAAACTTCAGAGACGAACAATCAAACTCGTGCTGCGACAACCAACCTTACCAAACGAATATCAAATGCAGAGATCTCCTCTACAACGAATCATAACGTAAGCCAACATTTTCATTCACTTGTTATGGATTTGTACTCTGTGAAAACTTTAGACTTCCAAGCCGATAACACGTTCAAGCATTGCTCCAGTCAACTCAATTCTTGCACAAAAACGTGTTCTATCGACCGCATTTTCATCGGCATCAAATACGAAACGTAAAAAGAAGCCGAAACGGCAAATTCTGAACTCATTGAAGCCTTACGATGCTACCAGTGACGATGACGAAACATCTTCATCTGAACAAGTGCGTATTCGGATATTAAGATACATAAAGATTCAAAATTCTGACTTTTAGCCATCTTATTCATATAACTCACAGATGCCTTTATCAGATTTCGTCACATCTACAAAAATAGAAGTCGTCGATGATGACAACAATAATAACATTGAAAATATTAATAAGAATGAAATAGTAACCGATGAACCACTTCCACCGCCAACCATTGGTGCACGTGTATGGGCAATGTATCAAGGCGCGCGTCGTCCCGGTCAAGTATTGAGTGTGAATGATAAACGTGAAATGTTTAAGATGCGTTTTGATGAATTTCCCACAGCGGAGTTCGATTATTCGTTCAGTTATAAATCATCTGCTTGGTCTTATATTGGTGCACCACCGTCACAACCATCCATCGAAATAGCTGCCAATGACAATGAGCCATTATGCACGATTGCAAAGAAATTCAAAGCTTTAATTAAAGTAAATTTCGACTTTTTTTTTGTTTTGGGCGAACGAAGACTGTTTCGTATTGTAGTTTATGCTACCACCAGATTGGGAATTAACACGTGAACAAATCACTTCTATGAGCTACGATGATCTTAGTCAATTCGATGTGACAATATTCATGCAATCCTATCGAGAAAAAATGACTAAGGTATAAAAGGAAACACTTTTCAACGGGTATCGAATTGCTCTTCTCTAATTGAAGATTGTTGAACAACGCAAAGCTGACGAAGCTCGTTGGCGAGAATCAGCGCAACGCTTGAAAACCGAAGTAACCGATTTACTCAATCTCTCCGGATTGGTTCGTATATAAAATTCCTTCTTCTTCTTTCTAATCTTCGATTTCGTTACTTCTAGTCTATACCAAACGATTGTTCCATGGAAGATTTTCAAAATCTCATTCAAAGCTACACTGCTCAGTTAGAGAAATCCTCTTGATTTTCAGTGCATTTTCTATGTTTTTCCTTTTATAAAGAATAGTATTTTGTATATAACGTTTGATACTGAGTACGGAGAGTAGACAATCAAACGGGGAAAACTGATCGAATGCTTAGATATGTTGATGGATATATATATATATATCATTGTTGCTGTTATTTGTTTTTGTTTCTGTTGTTTTTCTTCATTGCATATTACTAGAACAGATGAAATGAGAAAAGAAGTGAAATGTTTTAGAAATAAATTCATAGATGAAAGAAATATAGCAGAGTTTTGAAAAACAATCATAACCTTCGCTTAGAAATATAACTGATCGGAGGAGTAATTTGTGTGTATTTTAATGATGTAAATAATAACAGACAATGCCAGTCTCAAATTTCTCAAACATCTAGTTGATGAAGTAAAAGAGAAAGGCGGACGAGTCTCGATTCTTCTCGTCATTGTTCTAACATGGGAGTGTTAACAAATCAAAAATTTGCCATTGATTTACTTATCTCGATCTTGATCACCTTTGTTCTCAGTACAAGTATCTTATCTATTTCAACAAATCATTGGAATGTTAACTACGAAAACTCTATCACAAATCGAACTGGTCTCTTCCAACAATGTTCAAACGCACTGTGTTGCAATAGAAAAGAACTAGACCGTCCAATAACATTACTAGTTCTATGCAGTATTATCCTTTTAACAATGAGTGCCCTATCATCATTTATATTAATGGCGACAACCATGGAATACACAACTCGATGTTACATTCTCGTACCAATGACATTGTTTGGCGCTGGGATAACAATGACATTGGCATTGATTCAAATATTAGATCGATTAGATTTAAATGGTTATTCGGGATATACATTTATCATAGACACACTGCTAACATATATTTTTGGAGGAATATCCCTTTTGCACGCTAATATGCACTATTTCTAATTGAGCTTTTTTCAACAATAAAACTCGAAAACTTGATATCGAATCGTTATTAACAAAAAAAAACTGAACAATATATGCAGTCCAAAGATGATCTTTGATTACATTCTTGTCACATTTTGTACATCAACTTGGTATCGAGCTCGTACAATTTCTTCTTCGTCTTGTCCAATATGCATTTTCATAAGTTTACCATAGCCATGATAGATCCATGTGCCAATCAGTGCACCAAATATTGGTCCAATACATGGAATCCAAAAGTAATAGTTGCCAACGGAGAAGACTTTTGATCCATAACCAGCACAATAGGTGAAGAAACGTGGACCGAGGTCCCGTGCTGGATTGATCGGAAATCCACAATTATAACCTAAAGAAGAACGAATGCGATACTAGCTTTATTTATCTGCAACTGTTGCTTTTATTTACCAAAAGCAGCACCAATGGCGACAATGATGAAACCAACTGCAAGAGGAATTTGTGCATTAGCAACAAGTTTATTTCGTTTGTTTGATAATGCGCAAACGGCGATAAGTAACAGTGCTGTTGAAAGAACTTGATCAAAGAAGAGCGACAGCTGAGTGACACCTTGAGCAGGCAAAGTACCAAATATTCCAGCAGTTGCTTGTTCACCTGTTACTTGTCTTACACCTCCATCGAATTGTACGATAGCATTGTAATACGTTGCAAACACTAAAGCCGCGGCAATGAATGCTCCAAGAAATTCTAAATCAAACGTATTTTCTTATCGTACATATCCAAGTCTGTCCGTCACTCACGTGATATTATATAGGTAACACATTGTAATGGTGTAATGGAACGTAAACTTAACATGGCAATCGATACGGCGGGATTGATATGTGCGCCTGAAAAGAATCATGTATGTCACTTTCAATGATGCGTACCATTGTAAATACCCGAGACTGGACCAGCGACGTAAACGGCAATCAATGCACCGAAACCGAAAGCGAAATTAACAGAAAGAAAATTGGAGAGCTTCCCACGTGATAGAGTAAATTGTGCAACACCTGAACATCCAAATAGAACGAGAATGGCCGTGCCGAGTAACTCTGCTATACACTCTGCTAGAAGACGTATCCACGGTCGGAATCGGTGCGAAGCATCCAAAAGCATACTATCAGACTTCACTTGTTCAACTTTTACTAGAATGAAATGCAATATTCTTTAAGCAAATATTTGTCCGTGACATCACAACTTGATTTCATTTATCCATCAAAAACTAAAGAAGAAAAAAAAGATATTTTATATTTACTTATTGCAACAGTTGCGTCCATTTTTGGAGGTTCAGCACTTTTCGACGATTCACTTTTACTTATACTCAATGACGAAGGACGTCGAGTACGCAGATCAATTGTTTCGTGAGTAGATAATTGATCTGCTTCGATAAGTGCATTTGCTTTATCATGAACAATATCTTCGTTGGGTGCAAGAAAAACTTCATCTTTTTCTTCACTATTGCGTTTATCTGGTAGAGCGTTCAACATTTCAAATCGAAGTATAACTAGTAAAAGTCGACACCACTTATATATATAAATGCACAAAGAAACGATATAACTACTGAAGCATGAACCAATAGATAATGCGGGATATGCAGATAAGCATAGCAGTGTGCTCATGGCCTCTTGTTGTTAATTGAACATTGGACAAAGGAAAGAGAGAGAGAGAGAGAAAATAAAGACGAGTTTGAATTCGATGAGCTTGACATCCGTGAATAGATGACAGAGCAGAGTTTGATTATCAATGTGCAAACAAGAAATCTGTTCTATGTCATCGTTTGTTCAGAACATCAAATTGACCGATTGAACTTCAAATAATTTCCGTTCAACTCTTTTTTAACATTGACGAGCATGACACTCTGGTCTAGTTTCTTGCATAATATCCAATAACCTATATAATGAAGGCAAAAGAGCAATACCACTGACTGTCATTCTCTTCTTGTTCTACATTTGCCATCATTTCGCCATTGAAAGTCAATGTCGGTTATGAAATTTTGTATCCAAGCGAATTAGTGGATCTTTCTTTTGGATTCACGGTAGTTTTGAGCGTATAATTATTGAAAATGAAGAAGATCAATCATTCATTCATGTTTATCAAAGAGTAATCCTTCTTTTTCACTGTAAAGAGAAATCAAGAGACTGTATACAAAAAAATAGGAGAAAATATCCAATGACAATGACAGAAATATACATCGAAGAAACAATAAATAAGATCAGATATATAAACAAGATATAAAGTGTATTGTTTTTATGTGAGGATCGTTTGTGAACTATTCAACATGTAAAACCATGTGAAAAAAACCATTGAATAAGTTTGTTTGAGTTCTAGGAAGCTTTATCAAGAGCTAAGTAGAGAAGCGACGATCGTTTTAATTGCTTATCGTCTTGCATAAGCACGATTAAATCTTGAAGATTCGATTGACATTTCGATCGAGCGAGTCTCTAGAAAAGCATCGATGAATGTTCATAAATCCATAAGTAAAAACTCAAACATACGGATTTTTTAATCGTACTGATTAGTTTCGATTGTGTCGACGAAATGTGCGCGTGTTGATTCATATTCTCTTCTAACTTACGTTTATTACCTTGGCCAGGAATAAGCATTGTTTCATCTTCGTCATGCTCTATCTATTCACAAAAGAAATTCTTTGCTTATTCCCTTGACAAAGAGTCAACTGGTATACCTGTACGGAAAGACTCGCTCGTTGTTGAGAAATCGATCGAAGTTGTTCAATTAAACATTTCATTCTTTCTTCAGCGGCATGGGAGATTAGTGCAAGAACAGCATCATCTTGAAATACCATGTTACCACCTTCCCATCGTTTTTCTTTTATTAAGTGATCTAACCGTCGACGAAGAGCAAGTGCAGAAAGAAATCGATCATCATGTGTAATATGACGAGTATGACGATCATCGGTAGTAGCCAATACTGTTGTTAATAAACTACTATTTCCCATAATATCATCGGATGAATCATCGTCAGTTCTAAAGCAGCAGAAGAATGAGTTGCTTTCATTTTCATTCAAACTCACTTCGTTATCGTTTTCGATTGCGAATGAATTTGCGATTGTTGCTGAAGCGATGGAATGGTAGTTAGTAAGGTTTTGGAGCCTGTACCAATTTCGGTTTTAATCGATTGATGGTTAACTGTGATAATCTGTGGTTGCTGAAGTGTTGTTGTTGCCGGTGAAAGAAATGTTCTCTGTAAGAGCGAATCGGATTGTTGAATAATTGTTTGAGTTATGGGTTGGATTTGTTGTTGACCAGTGAGAAGATTTGTATTCGATGATGGAGAAACTGTTGCTACAAGTGGTCGAATACCTGTGATGCTCTACAAAAAATCGTTATATTTATATCAAGATGAATTAGTTCTACAAAGAAAGTTATTCAACGAACTATTTGTGTGCGAGCTTGCTGCTGTTGTTGTTGTTGTTGACCAAGTAGCGAGGCTGTAGTACCGATTATTGTTTGGGGCGTTGATTGTTGTAGTAGATTGATCTTTTGTTGAGGTTGAACTGTCGTATATAATAGCGGTTGTTGCATACCTGAATTCGATTGTTGAGTTAGTAGAGATGGATTAACGACAACACGAGACGTTGGTGTTGTTGCTGCTGCTGTGGTCATCATCGTAGAAGTATTACTTTTACTCGAGGGAAGATTTAGTTTTTCCAATAATTCAATTGTAATCGGTTGGCCGAACGTATTCTTAACCATTTGACGCATATAAGGTAATGCTAACTAAAATACACAGTAATAGTTAGTTAAATCAAAGACGAGTATTGAGAGAACTAACTTTAAAAAAAGGTACAAGTGATGTGTGTGGTTGGGATTTGTAGAGTGTATGTAATCGTTGAGTAAATGATTCAGGATCGATGGCACCGTCAAGAAGATCTTGTATACAAGATCGTACCATGGGTAATTTTTCTGGTGCTTGTTTTTCGGCAAGTTTAAGTAAGGTTGTTAGAAATGTTCGACATTTACCAACAAAATCATTGATTTGTGCTTCGGTAAACTTTGGTGTTTGTGGTGTTGCGACTGTTTGACGAACAATTGGTTGTGCAACTAATTTTGTGGGTAAAATTGATGTTTGTTGGGAAATACCGGGCGTCGATGGTTCTAATCGATGTAAAAGAATAGTACTTGTTCGAATGAGAAAATACTACTGGTCTTACCAGCCTTGATTGTTGGAGAATATTGAATTTTTGGTGATAATTGCGTTGCATTATTGGTCCAAACATTTTGTGATGTAAACTGATTCTGTTGATTAAGACGAACAATACCTGTCGACGCTGATATAGTTCCAGTGGGCATCGATTGTTGATGAATATACGTTCCGTTTGGTGTGCCTGCATGACGAATGTTTTGTGCTGTCATTGCAATATTATTTACAGTTAAATTATTGTTAACTGGTTGAGTAAATACTAATGTTGTCTGAAAAGATAAAAAGATGATTACAGAGGTTGATGGTTTTTTCCCGAAAATGACTTACTGGTGTAGGTAAAACTTGTACTTTTCCATTATTGGAAAATGGAGACGAAGATGATGCCATGAACAAGAACTAAACGGAAGAAATGATTTGAAAACTCAGTTGATCCCGAGAATCAATAATCGAATAAGCATCAATGATTGAAAGAATCACTGATGCCTTGCAAAGTTGCAGTTATGGTTGTTTGAGAAAGATAACTATTTGTGTGCGTGCACTGCACATCGGACGACAATGGATGAAATTTAGCAACCAATAGAAAAACAATTTTTAATAGATGGCGCTGTTGGATGAAGCTCTCGGAGACTTAGCCTAGTATGTTCAAGTGCAGATAAACTCTTACCGGTTACGGTTTGTACAAAATCACGAAATGAGTGCATGATTTAGCTAATTATAACAGAATTTTTTTTCGTGCGATCTGAATAATTAGAGATGATATTTGCTGCCGGCTAAACTAGCATGCAAAAAGTTCTTTCTTCTTTTCTTTTCTTTTCTTTGAGAAATAGTTTAGAAAATAAGACATTAATTAGTGAAAAATATTATCTTTTTTTAATGAAAGGTATTTATAACCATTGTATTCCTACAGTTTTCAAACTTATCTTTGTAACTTGAAAACTTCTGCGTTGTAACAAACCATGTCTACACCTGAAACTTTGGACAATATTTCTCGCCAACTGAATATCTATGTTGGAACATGCATGTTTATTCTTGGTATTATCGGATGTGTTTGGAACATCCTTGTCTTTCGTCATTACTCTTTTCGTTTAAGTTCATGTTGCATCTACATGATATTTGGCTCATTTGCAAGTTTAGTTCAACTGTTGTTTGGTCTATTACCTCGAATACTATCCGATGGTTTTCTATTTGATCGGAACAGTACAAATATCGCTTGGTGTAAAATACGAAGCTATGTCGCATCTTGTGCATCGTTAATCGCTTTGTACTGTTTTGTTTGGTCGGGAATCGATCGATTCTTCTCGACATGTCAACAAATCAAATGGCGTTATTTAACTTCGGTTTCCATTGCCAAGCAAATCTGTCTATTAACTATCATTCTATGGATGATATTTAACATTCCTACTCTGATCTATACGAGACCTCTGGCGACAACGGGTACTTGTGCTAGTTCATCGTTCATATGGTCGCAGATTTCAGTTTACTGTTTGAATTTACTCTGCTATGGAACATTTCCATGGCTTTTGACAAGTATCTTTGGAATTTTAACACTGAAAAATCTTCGGCGGGTTCATCAACAACGCATCAATCCATTTCCTATACCGAAGCTCGTCCGCACAACATATCTCGACCATCAACTAATTTCCATGGTACTTTTACAGATACTTCTCTCTATGATGTCATCAACACCGTTTTGTATTCGAATTATCTATGATAATCTAACTCAGACGGTTGTAAAAACTAAATATCGACGCGCACAAGAAGATCTCTGTATGCAAATTGTTTACTTAATGTTCTACCTCAATTATGTTTCGATGTTCTACGTGAATTATATCTCATCAACGGTATTTCGACGATTATCGAAGAAAGTATTAACTAATTTATATGAAAAGGACGAGAATATCTCCAGAGGAGTGACAGTCATCAATCATCAAAGAAGTTGCCTGGAAGGCGAAGCCCGGAAGGAAACAAAGATTTTTAGTACTTTTGGACCGAATACGACGTCAAGCGTCTAGAACTTTTTTTTGCAGAAAAATAGCTTTATTTGTATTTCATTCACCAATGTATAGATGGAGTCAATTTTTGAACTAAATTATATAAAAGAAAGGATGCTGTAGGACAGACAGATGATATAAGATTTCGACTATATTCTATTGCCTTGTTCAATGACAAGTAATGAACGACACGCAATTTCTGCCGACGCGATACGAACCAACTGATACTACAATTTAAATAGATTCAGTTTTAACCTTGCTCATACCCATTAGTTTTGATCTTTAAAATAACAACCGCGAAGATTTAACGTGTTTAGGTATATTTAAACCATCAC